TAGAATGCATGAAGATTGGCTTGTTGAAGATTATTGGCTTGTTGAGCTTGCGTTGCCTGTACCGCTTGTACTTGGGCTTGCACTGCTTGGACCATTGCCTGTGGAGTCATCTGTGGAAATTGCTGTTGAACACGTTGTGCAGCAGCTCTTTGCTGTTGCAATAAATATACCTGCATAGGATTAGGTACTTGTTGAGGTCTACCAGGAACTTGTGGTATTTGATGCACCATATGGACACCCTGTGGCTGTTGTGGTCTAGCAATCATTTGTTGCTATACATTAAAAATACATATTAATTCATTTTATAAATGATAATTTATCAAAAATAATTTCTACATACCCTTACATGATGTCCTTGCATAGCAAGAGATGCCGCTTGACGCGCTTCCAAAATGTTTTGATGCGCTTGTCTTTCTTGTTCACATTTCCTTCGACTTAATTCCAATGGTGAAGGAACCCTTTGTTGTAATGGGATAGGTTGATCCTGAACTTTTTTAGGTTGAACTAGAGAAATTAAGGAAAATATATTAATTAATGACCAAATTTATGAAAATTTAATTTATATTTATGAAGTACTTGCGTCGTTTTTGTGCCTCTTCTGTTCTTTTCTTTGCTGCCTTTTTTATCGCTTCATGAATACTTGAATGTCGTTTGTTATTCTTTATTGGATCAAATCTCGGTGCTTTTTTCCATTGATCCTTTTTTATTTTTAAAGCTAAAGAAGTTGAGCTACTACTTCCTCCGTTCATGGTGATTCCATCCATAGAAGTAACGAGGCCTAATGCTATTTCATCTTCGTCGTCTGAAGTTTTCGTGACACCTTGAATTATAAATCCACTGGTATCTTCTTTCTGTAGCCATCGTTGATGACATTCGTACGGATTCCGTATACATCCAGTTATCGAAGAACGTGACAGGTTTATTACTTCTGCGATAAGGTTCCAATTACACTGGTATTCTTTTGCTAATGACAATAATAAATCATCATCCTCAGCTGACCAGCCTTGGGTGGGAGTTGTAGAAATCTGAGGTGGTTCAGAAACCGTAAATCCGGTAACACGTTTTTCATTTGGCTTAGAAAATACTAGATCAAATTGAACATTAATACTGATTTATTATTTACAGACCAATATAAAATTATAATTAACTAACTTGGACTTATTAAAGCCTGATCATCAAGATCATCACTCTTTGATTTTGTTTTTATACGCTTCGAAGATTCATATATTGAATTTCTCCACTGTATCGTCGATTTTCCTATTTATTATAAGCGTGAGATTAATAATCAATTGATACAATGTGAAAAAAGACAGTTGATAACTTACTATTATTATATCCTTTCATACGACGCACCACTGTTTTCGATATAGGTACTATTTGAGCATATTCAGCTTCATCAACATAGATATCTTTATCACTCGATGAAGTTATTCCTCCATAAATATTACATTCGGGGAGTATTGTTTCTAGATCGAATGTTTGACTGTCTGGTACAAGGAAATTGATTTGATTGGCGGGTAAAGAAAAGAAGCAATGTCTCGTTTTTTTCGTTATATTATTTGTTGTTGTCGCTGATTGATTATTATTAATAATCTGATCGTTTTGGGGTCGAATTGATGTTGATGATGATGTTTCATCATCAACTGATTCAATATCAATCATTATTTCGTCATTTGATATATGAGCATTTTGTTGCCATCGATTCTCATCCAAGTTATCCTTGATGCTCATTTCTTCTTCTATCTCTTCTGTCTTTAGCTCTGTTAATTCCATTTTAACCTCTCTCAATTCTTTAGTATATTGAAAAAATACATGAATAAGAAAGAATATATTCAATAAAAATTAAAAATCATTAAGTTTAATTTTTATTTACCATCATCCAAAACATTATCGGTATCAATATTCATCGACCCTGAAGATTCTTCTTTTGGCACAACTGGTGCAGGTTTCCGACGCTTTGCATGAAGAAGGAGAATAACAATGATTAGATTCAGAGAAAGTAAAAAAAAAATACAATTGTAAAAATAAAAAAAATACCTTTACGCAAACAGTCGATTTATCTTCTGCATTATGCCATTCCATAACCCATTGAGCCATAAGATAATGGGCTGCTATTTTCCACCTTCTTTCTTCTTTAAAATCAGTTTGCAACCATTTCTGTTAACGAGAGGAGATTATTGATTATTCAATATAAATAATTTGGTAAAAATATTAAACAAATATACCATTTCGGCTAACAAATAATCCCAATGTGTCATTGTTCTTGGTGGTGCTTTATGTTGTTCTACTTGTTTAAAACTCCATTGATTTGCGGCTTTCAACTGTTCAATTCTTTCTGTAACTCTGACATTCTTAATCTCATCTCTTACAACCTAAAATTACCAAATAAGTAAATATATCGATAAATAATTGATTGAATTGCGATTTGTGGTCACGATTTATTACCCTCCAATCTTCGCTTGTTAGCACTTTATTTGGTATTTGAAAAGCTTTATAGATTGGCTGATTTTGAAAATTTGAAAGCATCGCGGATCGATCATAACCCCTGGCACGAGATAAATTGTTGTTTCGATTGTCACCATGTTTTGTAGCAGAAGTAGTGATACGTTGCGGTGGATGTTGTTTCTTATTTCCAATATTTAATTTAATCTTTGTGGGTTGAGATGATATTGTTGAAGACGATGAGGCGGAAATCGATGATGATGTTTGAGGGAAGCCATTACGCTATTTTACGCATAAATTAATTTAATAAATTAAATAAATAAATAATATAATTAACATATAATAAAAAACACAAACCTCGGCATCTTTAAGAATCTCATCGACACTCTTTGGACATATTGCACCGCTAGCAGCACGCGTAACCATTCTTTCGGGAGGCGGAGGAATAACTCGCTTGTGTTTTTTCGTTTGTGAACTTTGTTCAGTTGGTGTTGGTGGTTGAACAGAAACAGTAGGTGAAAGAGTTTGTTGTTGATTGGATTCAGTTGATGGTGCTGTTGATGTCCTGATTACAAGGGATGATCTTTCGACGGTATTGTTAATGTTGTTGTTGTTGTTGTTGCTGTTGTTAGTAATAGTAGTCGAGTTTTTTGTGATATTATTGTTGAAATTAATAATAATAGAAGATTTATTATTTTGATTGATTTTATCAATATTTTCGGTGCTTTTGGCTGATTCACCGGCCGAAGGTGTTTTCGAAGTGGATGCGATCGCAGTAGGAGTGGCAGTAGCAGAATTAGTAGATAAGGCAATAGATGCTGTTGATGTTGATGAACTGGTAGCTGTAATAGTAGATGTGGTTGTAATGTCGAATGCACTACTATCGAATCGATAGAAAGAGATCAGATTTGAATTAATCAATTCCCCATTCACATAAAATATATCAACATGACACGTATATATTTGATGATGGATTCTTTCAATCAAACATTATTTTACATAACAAGATCAAAAGAAAGAAGAAAAAATATCAAAACTAACCTAAGTGATAGGTTTTCCAGTTTATGCGTTTGCATAAATCTTTGTAGTATTTCCTGGTCTACTTTCTCCCAGCTTTGAAAAGGTTCTAGAAATCCTGGTGTACTGTTATCCGATGAATTACTTAAATTATGCACGTAGAAAAGCTCTTTCACCAATGTTTCGTGTTTAGCGATAATTTGACTATATAAAACACCAAATTATCAGTAAAAACGAGAAATACCCCAAGCATACAAAACAGAGAAAGGTAGAAAAGTCAAGAGTAAAAGAAATTTAATACAAACTTTAACTGTGTTTGTTTGAGCTCTTCTGCCTTATTACGTAGTTCCTGAAGAATGGGCTACGTTGACGTGAAATTTACAGGTTAATAAGGAGATATTTATTGTTTACGCTAATAAAAGCAAAAACCACGATGTTGATAATCTTATCACGTGATATAGTTCGAGAACCAGAAAGAAAAACACGGGTACATAGAAAGTACTCAAACTTCTAATTAATGCAAACATCTCGAAATGAACATTGCAAAAAGACAACTCTATTGTTTCATTTGAACGTTTTCTTAACCAAATGCTTTGGAATTCAAGTCCTGTATGTTTCACATTAAGAGAAATGACATACCGTTACAGAACCATCACCAATGTCTTTTGTGTCCTTCCCCTGTGATGAATCTGTAACCTTAGAGGCCATAGCATAAAAATATACAAGATTAGAGTGTAATTTAGGGCACACGGCCCCTTGCGCATTGTATGAAGAGTATATATAGTGGTTTCTTCAGAATAACCGCAAGGATATTTATTTTGATTTTCTACGTCAAAGGAAAATGATGACGTGGCTTACTGAATATTTTCCAAATGTAGTCAACAATCCGGATATTGTATTATGATTATTATGATTATTATTATTATTATTATGATTATTGTTATTATCACTACTAGTAGTATTTGAAGTATGATTTTGATGGGGTAGATGCCGATTAAGATGATGGTGATGATTATTATTATTAGTAGTAGTAGTAGTATTATTATTATTATTATTATTATTATTATTATTATTATTATTATTATGAGTATAGTTGTTGTATTTGTAGGGAGAAAAAGAAGTGTCTTTTTGGTTTGACATTATTTTTCACCCTTGTAGTGGTACAAAGAAGAAACAGGCAGCCAGGGTGTGCGTTAGTTAAATATTTTATTGATACTGTTTTGTCTTTTAAAAAAAGCTTTTTTTGCTTTGAAAACCTTTAAATTTTTTTGTCCAATAAAAGAAAAAATCATTACTTCCCATTCCCACCATTACGTTTACACGATTTGCAAATGTGATAATGTTACACTAGGCGTTTCACATGGTGTCACTTGCTTACAACAATTATAATTAGCTTCTCGATACTTTACATTTAATGAAAAAAAATTAATTTCGAAAATGCCAGACGACAAGAAACTTCCCTGGGGTATTAATGCTCCTAAACCTGGTTCTGCAAAGGTTTCATTTCTTTTCTTTCACGGATATTAAACTTTTAAAAAAGAACATTTGTTTAATACATCTTATACTTAGAGTCTGACGAAAAATAAGCTGCAGGCATTTAGCATCGGAACTCACAAAAAGACACCTTTTCAAAAACATAAAGAAGAATTAGAGTTAAAGAAAAAGGTAGATACATTTTTTACTTCTTCTATTTAGTTAACAGCAAAGCGTTTGTCTTGCGATTCACCGATCTTTCAAATTAAAAATTCGGTAACCTAGCAAGAATCGGAAGAAGCTGCAAAGGTATATGCCGAATTTGTTGCTTCTTTTGAAAAGGAAGAAGGCTCAGGAAAAGCTTTTGTGAAAGGAGAAACTATAGTGCCAAAAGGTTCCACAGTTACCATTTGTTTCTAAATTCTTGGTTTTGTATTATATTCAAGTATATTTTACTGATTTCCAGCTTTTAAAAAGTATTATTCGATCATGAAGCTGCAAAAAAAGAACCAGTACCTTCTTCATCCCAACAGGCTAAAATATACAAGCCACAACCATTCATCCCAGCAATAAAACCAGTTTTACCTGAAGTGAAAGTGGAAGAAGAAATGCTTATAGATAAAAACCATGTAGCTATTGATTCTTTCTTTATTTCTCAAATTCTTTTAAACTCGCACTAAATTTTTATTCCTCAGGAAGAAGAAGACGCTACCAAACAGGAAGAGAAATCTAAACGAAAGCGTAATCTCGATGCTTTTCTAGAAGAAATAAAGCGGTATGTTAATTTGTAATTTATTTGCATCGATGAAAATTTTTTTACTATCGAAATATATTATTTAATAGAGAACAAGAAGAACGTGAAGATAGATTGAGACAAAAGCATGCAAGATTGGCTGGTGCAGGAGTTCCATCTGGTAATTTTCGATTTCAGTTAGTGCACTATTGTTGATATCAGAAATCTTATTGAATAATTTTATCTTTATTTTTAGAGGATGGAGGTGATGAATTCGTTTCTACTTCACTTACCGTAAAAGCAGGTAAATTTATCCCTATTATTGATTTTCTGAGCAATCTAAAAACAAATTAATTACATCGCTAAAAAAATTATAGCTTTTGAAGATAGACCAGGATCTCACGATACGGGTGATCCAAATACAACAAATCTGTATGTCGGTAATATTAGTCCAGAGGTAAATAATAAAATGGAGTGTTTTTTTAATTATTTAAATAAGAAAATATTATAATAATAATAATAATAATAATAATAATAATAATAATAATAATAATAATAATAATAATAATAATAATAAT